TCCACTGACAGATGGGTAAACAGAATGTAGTGTATACTTACAATAGAGTATCATCCAGCCTTCAGAAGGAATGAAATTCTATACATGCTACAATATAAATGAACCTTGAAAACATTAACTGAAAGAAGTCAGGCACAAGAAAATTACAGGCCGGTATCCCTGCTGAACATAGATGCAAACAAAGATCAACAAAATTTTCACTAGCCAAATTCAAAAATATATTAAAAGAATCATACACCATGAGCAAATGAAGTTTACCTCAGATGCAAGGATAGTTCAACATCCACAAATCAATCAATGTGATACACCACATCAACAAAATGAAGGATAAAAATCCTATCTCAAGAGATGCAGAAAAAGCATCTGACAAAATTCAATACCCATTCATGATAAAAACTCTTAACAAAGTGGGTATAAAGGGGACTGTACCTCAGCATAATAAAGGTCATATATGACAAGTCCACAGCTAACATCATCCTCAGTGGTACAAAGCTGAAAGCCTTTCTTCTAAGATCAGAAATGAGAGAAGGATGCCCACTCTCCCCATATTTATTTTACATAGTGTAAGAAGTCCTAGCTAGAGCAATTAGATAAGAAATAAAAGGCATCCAAATTTAAAAAGTGAAAGCAAAAATGACATGCTATTATATATAGAAAACCCTAAGGACTCTATCAAAAAACTATAATAAGCAAATTCAGTAAGTTGCAGGATACAACATCAATATACAAAAATCACCAAACTATCAGAAAGAGAAATGAAGAAAACAATCCCATTTACAATTGCATCAAAATGAAAAATATACCTAGGAATAAATTTAACCAAGGAGGTGATTATTGAAAACCAGAAGACATTTATGAAAGAATTGAAGATGACACAAATAAATGGAAAGATATTCTGTGCTTATGGATTGGAAGGTCCTGTGCTATTGATAGGTCCATGTTGCCCAAAGCAATATACAGATTAAAAGCAATACTTATCAAAATTCCAATGGCATTTTTCACAGAACTAGAACAAATAATCCTAAAATTTATAGGGAACTACAAAACAAATAGCCAAAGCAATCTTGAGAAAGAAGAACAAAGCTGGAGGCCCCATGCTCCCTAATTCCAAACTCTATTAAAAAGCTACAGTAATCAACGGGGAGCCTAGGTGGCTCAGTCGGTTAAGCGCCTGGCTGCCTTCGGCTCAGGTCATGATCCCAGAGTCCCGGGATCAAGTCCCACATTGGGCTCCCTGCTCAGCGGGGAGTCTGCTTCTCCTTCTGACCCTCCCCCACTCTTATACTCTCTCTCTCTCAAATAAATGAATAAAATCTTAAAGAAAAAAAAGGTACAGTAATCAAAACAGTATGGTATTGGCATAAAAACAGACATTGATCAATTGAACAAAATAGAAACCCAGAATTAAACTCATGTATATATGGTCAGTTGGTTTGCTACAAAGAAGCCAAGAATATATGGTGAGGAAAGGACAGTCCCCTTTAATAAATGAGGTTGGGAAAACTACACAGCCACATACAAAAGAATGAAAATTAACCATGATCTTACACCACACACAAAAATTAACTCAAATGCATTAAAGACTTGAAAAATCTGAAACCATAAAACTCTTATAAAACATAGGCAGGTGCACCTGGGTGGCTCAGTCGGTTAAGCATCCGACTCTCAATTTCGGCTCAGGTCATGACCTCAATATCATGAGATCAAACCCTATGTTGGGCTCCACACTGAGCATAGCGCCTACTTGAGATTCTCTCTATCTCCCTCTCCCCCTCCCCCCATTCATGCTCTTTCTCTCTCAAAAAAAAAAAAAAAAATAGGTAGCAAGGTCCTTTGATATAGGCATTGCCAGTTGTTGTTTTTTTTAATCTGACACCAAAAGCAAAGGCTACAAAAGCAAAAATAAGCAATACAACATCATACTAAAACACTTCTATACAGCAAAGGAAATCATCAACAACATGAAAAGACAAGCTACTAAATGGGAGAAAATATTTGCTAATCGTAAATCTCATAAGGGGCTACTTTCCAAAATATATAAAGAGGGGAGCCTGGGTGGCTCTTTTGGTTAAGCAACTACCTTCGGCTCAGGTCATAATCCCGGAGTTGCAGGATCGAGTCCTGCATCAGGCTCCCAGTTCAGCAGGGAGTCTGCTTTTCTCTCTGACCCTCTCCCCTCTCATGCTCTCACTCTCTCTCAAATAAATAAAATCTTTAAGATATATATCTATCTTTATATATCTCTTTATATATATATATATAAAGAATCCATGCAACTCAATAACAAAACAAAAAAAAATCTAAGTTGTAAAATGTACCGAAGATCTGAATAGACCTTTTTCCCAAAAGATATATAGATGGCCAACAGGTACATGAAAATGTATATTAGTACATAATTACTAATTATCAGGAAAATGCAAATCAAAACCACAATGAGATATTACTTCACACCTGTTAAAATGGTTATTATCAAAAAGACAAATAACAACCGTTGGCAAGGATATGGAGAAAAGAGAACCCTTGTACACTATTGGTGGAAATATAAATTGGTGCAGCCACTATGGAAAACAGGAGGGATGTTCCTCAAAAAATGGAAAATAGAACCATAATATGAACCAGCAATTCCACTTCTGGGTAGAATTTATCCAAAGAAAACGAAAACACTAACTCAAAAAGACAAATGTACCCGCATATTCATTGCATTATTTATAATAAACAAGATATGCACACATTCTAAATGGACATCAGTGGATGAATGGATAAAGTAAGTGTGATTTTTAGATATATATAATTTATAATGGATTTATTTAATGTGGTATATATATACACACACATATACTACATATATAATGGAATATTATTCAGCCATAAAAAAAATAAAATCTTGCCATTTGTGACAACATGAATGGACCTTGAGGGCATGAGGCTAAATGAAAGAAGACAAATACCATATGCTCTCTCCTATATTAGAATCTAATACACACACACACACACACACACACACACTAGATTGGTAGTAGTTGCCAGAGACAGGGAATTCAAGGGTGAGAGAAATGGTTGAAGGGGGTTAAAAAGAAAAAATAAAAATTTTTTTAAAGATTTCTGCTTATCATTTTGAGAGTTAATAGCCCCCCTGTGAATCCTCCTACACTCTTGGTGGGAATGCAAGCTGGTGTAGCCACTCTGGAAAACTGTATGGAGGTTCCTCAAAAAGTTGAAAATAGAGCTACCATATGATCCAGCAATTGCACTACTGAGTATTTACCCCAAAGACACAAATGTAGGATCCAAAGGGGTACATGCACCCCAATGTTTATAGCAGCAATGTCCACAATAGCCAAACTGTGGAAAGAGCCAAGATGTCCATCGACAGATGAATGGATAAAGAAGATGTGGTATAGGGGCGCCTGGGTGGCTCAGTCGGTTAAGCGACTGCCTTCGGCTCAGGTCATGATCCTGGAGTCCCGGGATCGAGTCCCGCATCGGGCTCCCTGCTCCGCAGGGAGTCTGCTTCTCCCTCTGACCCTCCTCCCTCTCATGCTCTCTCTATCTCATTCTCTCTGTCTCAAATAAATAAATAAAATCTTAAAAAAAAAATTTAAAAAAAAAAAAAAAAAAAAAAGAAGATGTGGTATATATATATACAATGGAATATTATGCAGCCATCAAAAGGAATGAGATCTTGCCATTTGCAATGACGTGGATGGAACTGGAGGGTATTATGCTGAGCGAAATAAGTCAAAAAGAGAAAGACATGTATCATATGACCTCAATGATATGAGGAATTCTTTATCTCAGGAAACAAACTGAGGGTTGCTGGAGTGGTGGGGGGTGGGAGGAATGGGGTGGCTGGGTGATAGACACTGAGGAGGGTATGTGCTATGGTAAGCGCTGTGAATTGTGCAAAACTGTTGAATCACAGACCTGTACCTCTGAAACTAATACATTTTATGTTAAAAAAAAAAAAGAAGAAGAAGAAGATAGCAGGAGGGGAAGAATGAAGGGGAGGAAATCGGAGGGGGAGACGAACCATGAGAGACTATGGACTCTGAAAAACAAACTGAGGGTTCTAGAGGGGAGGGGGGTGGGAGGATGGGTTAGCCTGGTGGTGGGTATTGAGGAGGGCACATTCTGCATGGAGCACTGGTTGTTATGCACAAACAATGAATCATGGAACACTACATCAAAAACTAATAATGTAATGTATGGTGATTAACATAATAATAAAAAATAAAAATAAAAAAACAGCTCCCCTGTGGACCTTTGGTGTCCAAAGATCCCCCAAGAGCTTTTTTTCAAAAGTGACCTCTAAGGGATGTCTGTCCGCTTACTCTACTCAAGTAGCAAATGCTGGCTAAGCGCCTGCTGGCTCACAGACACTGTTGTTGGGATGGGGTATTTCCTGTGATAGTCTGGCTCTGACAACTCAGGGAGAGGCTTAACCATCTCTATGGGCACCTAGCAGGAGAATCTGAGCAGGGACTAACTAAACATACCTAAGTCTACTTCTGTTCAGCCGCGCTGGGTCTAACCTGGAAACACTGAAGCCAAAGAAAGGAAAGAAATGATGGACTTGTTAACTTGAATGAATTTAGCAAGAAAACAACAAACCCAATTGCCCTGTGGACTGAAGGGGCACTTAGAGGTCTTCTGCTCTAAAGCTTACCACACCACATTCTTAGTGCATTCTGCCACGAACCCTTTGATAGGGTTCATCTGGGGAGGGAGCGCACATTCTCTGACCGGCTCTACACGACCATTAGCCGTTTGCTAACAGAATGCTGATAGACCACAGGAAAGCTAACCATTCTGCCGTGGCACAAAGAGAAGAAAATGTGCCAGTGAATGTCCTTTAGTGGCTACAAGGAGGGGCAAGATGAATGATCGGAAGGTCTCAGACAAAATGCTCAGAAGGATTCTGTGTCCCATGCAGCCTGAGCGTTGCAGCGCCCCCCTTAACTTGGCTAACATTATATGTGTCACCTTTATCTGCTTCCCAGTGCAACGGGCCTTGCATCGGGCCTCACCTAGCCGTGCAACACAGACAAGTGTTCTGCCAAACACGGGATGGCATCACTTTACCATCAGAGCAGTGCAGCTCCCTTCCCAGGTAAGAGAAAGCCGTGGACCTCTTTCCCCAGGCCCTCTGTCAATAGCACGGAAAGACAGTGTTGACCGGATGTTTATCCTGCAACATCCCACAATCCTGGTGGTCAGATGCCCTTCCCTTTCACCTCGTTCTCCCCAGACCCCTGTTCTCCCTAGAGATAGATGGCCCAGTGGTGGCCTTGTACTTACTGAATGGGCCAGGCTGGGCTTTCCTCTTTTGGAGATAAAGATTACAGAGGGTGCTGTTCTGAGGGTGGCCTGATACCGCAGGGGATCTGCACCAGCCCCCAGGTGGGCAGGATGTGAGGTCCACGTGGCAGCCACCAGACCTCAAGGACTCCAGCAGCCCCTCACCCTTGTTGGCCCTCCAATAGAAGTTACACTAAAATAAGGGCGCTGATCCCTGGGTCTAAACCTGTCATTCCTATCCAGTCCCCATTCCTGGTCCTACTGGCCTGTGGATGTCCCCTTGGGGTGAGGGCTCACCATCCGCCCCAGGCCCTGCCTCTACCAGCCCCCATCCTGAAGAGACCGCATTCTTGGCTCACGCAGTGATACAGACTTACAGAGCTGAGCACCCAGGGGCCCCGTGAGAGCAGACGGCCTTCTGAGATCCTACAACCACTCCCTAACGAACAGAGATCAGAACCCCCCTCCGGTAGCACAAGAGACTTGAAGCGTGGCCCGGCCTTCTTGGGCTGGCAGCGCGGTTTTCCATCTGATCCCCGATCCCAGCCCCGCGGCGGCAGACCCTAACCCTGCCGCGCTCCTCCCGCAGGCCCGTGAGCACCCAGAACTGCTGGTCAGAAGCCTGCAGCGTACACTGGAGGGTCAGCCTGTGGAGCCTGTGCACGGCGACCTGCGGCAACTACGGCTTCCAGGCCCGGCGCGTTGAGTGTGTGCATGCCCGCACCAACAAGGCCGTGCCCGAACACCTGTGCTCCTGGGGGCCCCGGCCCGCCAACTGGCAGCGCTGCAACATCACTCCATGTGAAAACAGTACGTTCCAACCCCAAAGGGCCTTCTGCCAGGTCCCCATAGGCCAGCGGGGGCAGAGGGCAGGCCCTGGGCCCGAACCGGAGCCTAGGCCCCTGGATCAGGTCTCCCAGGGACGGTGAGCTGGGGCCAGAGTTGGGGGTTTTCAGAGGGGCGCCCGCCAGCGAGCCAAGACGTGTGCAAGGAGGTGTATTCTCACGTCCAGGCCCCCAAGGATGGCTAAGTGTGCCCCGAGGCACTGAGCAAAGCCAGGTGCTGTTGGCCCGGTGCTAAATGAGGTCGGCCTCCAGCTCCCCTGCAGTAGCTTGGCCGGGACCCAGAGAGGACAACCAGACAATGCCTCCGGGGCCAGGCCACTCGACAGAAAGTACTGCCCACACGAGACGAGCATGCCGAGCGCCTCCTGCCCAGCTGGCCCTGCACCCATCATGGCTCTGCCTCTCATGGAACAAGGAGCTGCCGCCCCAGGGGCGCCCACCGAAATTGTGCAGGAGCCCATGCCCTCGAGATCTGATACTCCTTCACTCCCCCCTCCCTCGAGTCTGGATCCTCCTCCGCCTGACATTGGCATCTGTATCCCGGTCGGGTATTTTTTCTTCCTCTGGACCCAAAACAAACTGGAGGGGGGACGAAGACAAAGTCTGAGGCAAAGAATAAGAAATGTTAAAACGTTGCCATGCAGTTTCCCCCCAAATGGGGCCTCTCCGAGCATCGAGCATCGGATTGCTAAGGCGGAGGCAGATGCCTGTGGGCACACCGTCCCCTTGCTTATACACCGGGGAGAGAGGATCTCTGTTCTCTGGGTGGTGCCGGCCCCTCTGTGTGTCAAGAGCTCACCGCCATCCATACTATCAGTTCAGTCGAAGTAGTTCAGACTTACAGTGTTAATCATAGACGTCCACCCCCCAAATCAGCACCGATATTTCAGGACCCTCTCGTTCCTGCCAGTGCTCAGCTAGCACGCCACAGTGCTCAGGTCAGGCCCGGCCAGGGGAAGGAGGAGAGGCTGAGGTGCACAGGGTAAGAAAACAGAGGGGGCCCCATCATCCGGCCAGCCACTGGAACCCCGGGGGCAGCCTGGGAGGCACGGGGCAGAGTTCCACCAGAGTGAGACCAGCCCCCAGGTGCTGGACAGCAGTGGCCCCTCCAGCCCCAGAGCCAATGCCCAAGGCAGACCCCAGCAAGCACCCCGTGGCCACAGCCCTTGGGCTCTGTTTCACATCTCTCTTCTGTCCCCTTTCCCAGTGGAGTGCAGAGATACCACCAGGTACTGCGAGAAGGTGAAACAGCTGAAACTCTGCCAACTCAGCCAGTTCAAATCTCGCTGCTGTGGGACTTGTGGCAAAGCGTGAAGACGGGGCCCAGGGAGGAACTCCACCCTGGCCGCACAGAGGACTCACGCCACCACCTTGGACAGAACTTAAGCTTTCTTGGTTTATTTATTTATTGCCCTCTACCTGCCCCCACCACACACGCCCTCGTCCGACCTCCTCCCCCCACCCCCGATGTGAGGGCCTCAGCATGTCCTCTCTCTCAGTTAGCTGGAGGACAGGATGTTGGGGAAAGACAAGGAAAGGGGTCTAAAGGAGGTTGCAGAGCAGATGCCTTCCCCAACCCGGGTCCCAGACAGACCAAGCAAGAGGCCAGCACAGCTCCTGGGGACAGCAGGGAGTCAGGGCCAAGAGCGGACGAGAGACAGGCGGGTAGGGTGACAGCGTTTGGAAAGCCCTGATGCACAACCAGCTGTGTCTTCCCTGGCAGCACGCTGTCGACCCAGGAGCGTCCTGCTGCTTTGTGTCCCCCCCTGCCTCCGCCTGAGGGGAGGACACCATCGCGAGGCAGAACCCAGGCCACAACCATGCGCTTCCGGTGCGGAGCCGTGAGAACTCAAAGCACCCATACAGAGCAGTCGGGGGGAGACCATCCAGGTGGGCCCACAGCACACTTGCGGCAGAACTTCTACAAAGTGGGGGGGAAGGGTACGGAAGCAAAAAGAAGCCTGTGCACGGCCCTCAGCGGGGAAGCCAGGTAGATGAAGAGTGAGCAGGCCCGAGGCTCCGGGAAGGGACACTCCAAATTCTGCCGCCCTCCTAGAGGGCACAGGCCCTGGGGGCCCATGCTGCGAGGTAGAAGACAGACCCTCCCCTTGGGGTGGGGGGGTGGGGTCTGCTTTCCCCGTGCCGTCTCGGTGAACATTCTGCCTGGACACCCCTAGCAAAGCTAGTGAGACATCGGGGTTACGCAGTCAGGCCACCCCTGGCATCTCTCCCTAAGTCACGAGTTCCGCACCACCCCCACCCCAACCCAGGATTAACTGCTGATGGGGACCAGGGGCATTTGGAGCGTCAATAGCCCGGGTCTTCTGCCTCGATGGCCGATGCTGCTCCACTTAAGGGCCAGGGATTGGGGTCAGTGTGCCAGAGAGGGTCCATCAGGTCATAGGAGCCACTTCCGGAGCTGGCCAGGACAAGGGGACAAGGGGCCGGACAGCCGGCTTGTGCGGGCCGTTCCAGGAGCACGAGAGCTGCCCTCCTGTTCACACAGCAGCTTGGGGCGGGTAGCGGGGTGCGGTGGCGAAGCCGTAGGGTAACGACAGCTTGCAAGAGGGTCCTCAAAGGCTTTTCAACCTCTTCCCCACACACAATGAAATACTACGAACCTTACCAGAATGAATACCACCCATTTTAGGAATTCGGTGAGCAAGGCAGCACACACCCTTCCAGAAGTGCCCGTCAGCTACAGTAAAATGGCCGTGGCCCAGTCTAGTGGCAAACCTGAAATTCTGGGACTATTTGGCAAATTGCTCTTTCAGCAGAGGGGCTTTGGGTGAGTGGCTTTGGCCACCTCCCCCTGTTGGCCACTGTCACTCACCCCTTGGATCAACTGCCCCCCACCTCCCACACATGAACTCACAAAATGCCACTCAGCCCCAGGACCACCCCTGATACCCGGGTGCCTGGAAGTCAGAAATGGGGAGGGGGAGACACTATTAAGCTGTGTGCCCCCCAGGGGAGCTATGAACAATTAAGGTGGGTCTCTTTCTTCCTCACCACAATAGGCTCTAAGAAATCACATTACTAAAAATCAGTGTCATGTTTATTTAAAATAAAAGAGAATGTTTTCTATGTCTGTATATCTTTTGTGAATATTTATTAGGATTTCTTGTGTAAAAAAGTGCAATATTAATAATTGTACATTGTCATCCGGAAAACAAAGTGTTTGGGGGACTTTTGATTAACTTCCTGCAGTTGTGTTCCCGTAATTACTCAGTGGTAATTATTGTATTGTTCCTATTTTTAATAGAACCTGATGTTTAACTCCAGATCCTGTAACTGTAACTCACTGTGTACAGAATATGTTGTAAATCTAACATGGGATGACAGGGCAGTAAGAGGCAGTAGTTATGCATGGAATGAAGACCGATTCCGTACTACAAACTAACGCAGTTGGTTATTTCTAGTTCAGTCGCTATGGAAAACCAGTGGCCAATATTTATGTTTCCTAAATAGCAGGTGTCCTCCCGCTCGGGCTCGTGTCAGGCTGCAGCAGTTGAAGTGGGTTTCAGAGCGAGCCTGGAGAACCTAGGTTTGGGGTAAGAGGTAGCATGCTCCTTGCATGAGATGAATGTACATTTATTGTTTGTTCTGTGAATCGTGACTCAACAGCAGCACAAGATGATTAGAGCGGCTAAATAATGTGGAAGGAGGCACTTCCTCCTCTAAAACACAAAACTGTATTTATATTTTTTGTACAGATAATACAGCTTATTTATTTAAATCTGGTCGTCCGAGTCTCTGTTAAGCCCAGCCCTCCCGTCTTGTTCTGCTCAAGGGGGTGAGGGTGGTTCCCAGCCACTCACGTGTGCTCAGCTGACATGGAAGAATTGCACTTTTCGGCTCTGCCTGGGAAGCTGGGGACCCGTGCCTGAAGGGCCAGCTCTGTAAGTCAACCCTAAAGGAGCTATGTCTGTGGTGCTCATATTCAGGCTTAGGACTGCCCTTGACAATCATCTCATTTACGGCCCTGCGTGGTGGGAAGATGGGAGCCACAGGACCTTCAGAAAGAAGACTTGGCATCTCTGGGGGCAGATGCAGACTTGGGTGCAGAGGTACCCTCCCTCCAGGCCGGGCTCCCTGCCAACAGGGGCGGGCACAATATAAAGTAGGTGTGAGCTGAAATTTTGGATTAACACCATTAGTAGGAGCTCACATTTATAGATCATTACTACATGTCATCTTCACATGAGCCCTAGGATTATCACCATTTGGATATGGGTAGACAGAGGCCCAGAGAAGCCCAGGGTCAACCAGCCTGTGGAACAGGGATCAAACTCCTAGAAGCCTGGCTTAGCCAGAGCCTTTTTTTCACCCACTCTGCCGGCTCCAGCTCCCATGCGTAGGAGCGGACCACGCCTGGCCACCTTCATGGGCACCATTCTTCGCTACTGCTTGAGGACAAAGGGACATTTTACTGGAGTTGTCACTTTCTCATCCCCTACAATCATTTCTGATGGCATTCCAGGGACCCAAGCTCCTGGTTTTTTAAAGCACTTTAATAGAAATAAGGCTACGGTAGGAAGTGCAGAAAAAAAGCATATTGTGGAGTTGTTTTTTTTAATCAACTGGCTCCAGTGGAAGGGCGGCAGGTCCCAGGCCCAGAGGATGTCCACACAAAGACCTTGGTAGGAGGCACCTGAGAGGACCCCCAGCCTCAAAGCCCAACTCCAGTCTGTCTTCCAGCAACTCGTGAGCACATCACAGTCTATTAAGCAGTGTAAAAATAAGCCAGAAAGCTCTTCATGAAGTTCCAATTACTTTCTAAGGAGTTTTAGGTTTTGCTTTAAAGAAAAAGCCAATGCTAGAACTATAAATACTCACATACCAGCAACCAAATAATATCCTACAGAGACCCCAGGGGAGGGTGGGGGGGAGGGGCAGGGGCCAGAATGAGTCAGAGATGCCAGATGCAAAAACCCAGGAAGTTTGAAATGGTGGGAAGGGCTCTAACAGAGCATATGGAAAATTTTCCAGCCACAGTCACAGAGCTCAGCGGGGAGAAAAGAGAGATTCCTAGAAGGATGCCACCAAACACAGTGTAAAAGTTTGGAATCTTAACCATAGGCCAGTCCCAGCATTGGAACTCCTCATACCAGACTCCCCTGCTTAGCCTCTGAAGTTTCCAGGCCTTTGACAAGGTGAACCCAGGAAATCTGGGGCTCATCCAGACCAGAATGATCAATAATCACCAAAGCTCATCCATGCCTCAGTTTCCTCACCTTTAAAAAGAGGATACTTCACAGGATAGGGTTTTTGTGAGAACACTAGTTAATTCACAGTGAGGAAATCTGTGATCGCCTGGCACATCACTGAAGCATGCACTGGATGTTAACCACTCTTACCATCCAAGCTACCTTGAAGAAGGGGGGTGAGGGGCAGAGCTTGACAACACTTGCGCTCTTTCATATTCCCATCGTCAGCTTTGAAAGACTATCCCCGTGTTTTCATTTTTGACTAGGAAGGACATCAGTCATTCCAGCACAGTTCAATACTACACAATAGCATCCATAAGAGTGGCCTTAGTGAACCAAAATCTATATTTTGGAAAATAACAGAACAGCCCAGGTAACCAACTCAAAGACTCATCAAAATATTCACACGCTTTCAGAAACACTTCCCAGAACAGATGTTGTCCTGTATTCGCAAGGTACAGTCTAGTTTCAATTCAAAATACCCAGATGTACAAGTAGCTGCCATCTCCTTTGATTTACTAAAAATAACAAAGAGGGCGCCTGGGTGGCTCAGATGGTTAAGCGTCTGCCTTCGGCTCAGGTCATGATCCCAGGGTCCCGGGATCGAGTCCCGCATCGGGCTCCCTGCTCCTTGGGAGCCTGCTTCTCCCTCTGCCTCTCTCTCTCTCTCTGTCTGTCATGAATAAATAAATAAAATCTTTTAAAAAAATAAATAAATAAAATAAAAAATAAATAAATAAAAATAACAAAGAAATGTTCATTCAAGAGCAAACATACGTGTAATGTAGGAGCTAAAATTAAGGCTATCTCACTTACCGAGTGGTAGACTTTCTCACCTCACCTCCTCCTGCCAATAAATCCAAAGAAAACAATCCAATTTTACTAATGGTTCTCAGATAAAGTGAGACAAGTTAGAGCTCAATAATCTATTTGTGGGCCTCCCCAAAACAGGTAAATTCATCCACAAAGGGTAAGGTGAAGAGAAGGATGAAGCTCTTGGAAATAACCAACGAAAGCTGACCTGTTGGGTGAATTACCCAAGGCAGGATAAATTAGGAAACAAAATAAGGTGACATCCCCTTGGTTTGGTCTCTCTCTGTCCCTCATTTTGTTCAGTGAGCCAGCCACGACTTAAAAGATTTCAGGATTCAGACTCAGAATACACTTGACTGTGAGTTAAATAAGGGAAGGTTGTCTACTGGTGTCACATACTGCCAAGGAGGAAAGTCCTGGTGTGAACACAAGCTTTCATCAGTACAGAGTTGAATGCTCAATGAATCTACCCATTCTGTAAGACTAAGATAAACCCCAAATTATCCTCTGTCCCCGCGCACCCGTGCTGTCCACTGGGAGATGCTTTTAGAGGTCAAATTTGGATGAGCTGATCAGAGACTGTTATCTTTGGCTGAACCTCAGCTTCTTATTCATAGCACCCCAAGGTTTTCCACTGGTGGTTGCTACCTCTAACCAGGAAGGCAGAGACGGTACTCAAGCTTTTGCTCGCCAGACTGGGCTGTCACCCTGCCTGTCAACTAGAGGTTTACAACTTCACTCAGATGGGTTCTGTGAAGCACCTGGTCCCAATCAACCCCATGTGTCACGCTTGTGATAACACAATACACAGATGTCACTCACCTCTGTGTTTTCCAAAGGCAAAATCCATCTTCGACCAAGGATTTCCCAGGCTGCTCCTAAAGATATGGTTTATATATGTGTAAACAGAAATTAAATGTGCAGTTTTATGTGAGTGAAGAGAAAGCAGACAGTGGGGAATGGTTCTCCTGCTGAACATAAATAATGTTTGTTTAAGCAGAATGCTTAGGAGGGCCTGAGAGATTGCACGGTCAGCATCCAGACCAAAAAGCATGCCTGGGAAACGAGCCTCCTTTTCCAAGATGACATAAACAGCCCTCCTCGGGGTCTTTGGGATGGCCAGGGTTGACCTTGTTACAAATCCCATAAAGGAAAGAAGACAAGCTGTGAACAACTTAGTTACTAGGTGAGCAACTCTAGGAAATATTTAATGGTCAAGGCGAGGAGCATGGTGATGAAATGTGTCATGGGCTTGATTTTCTGCTCCCCAATCCTCACCATCATTTCTTTATAACAATGAAGGGGCCAGGAAATGACTTAGCTGAGGTCACTGAAGGATGACAAAGTTGTTTGGTCAGTCATCTAGGTAGTTCTGTCCTAGAGCTGGAGCTCAGCATGTCACAGGGCCAAGGCCAGAGCAGGTGCTGGATCGATAGGCCAGTCACTCCTGAGCTGAGTTTCTTCACCTGCACAGGCCCTTCCTATTAGAATGGAGATACTCACGGTAACCACCTGAGAGCAAGCCCCCCATGATGTGAATCCTCCACTCCGTCTGCAATGTGAAGGTCTAGCCTCTGCACCAAGGTCTTGCTGAGATGGAAAACAAGCAAGTCCTCATCTGGTCCTATTGGACCTCACTCTCCCTCCCGCCCTCCTCACCACCACCCCCCCATGGCCAGATAAGGCTTTATCCTTTCTCATCTCATCTCCTCCCTGATTTTTCTTCCTATCACTTACCTTCTCCTTCCTTCAGAGTCTGAAAAACTCTTGCTAAGCACCAACTCTGTGCTAGGCCCAGGCTGGGCCCTGGGGACACAGGGGTGAAAGCCAAGTCCCTGCTTTCAGGGAGCTCAGAGTCCAGTCAGGAAAGCAGACATATCTCACCACAAAAACCAACATGTCCTACTCTGTGAAGTCCCAAGTTTGGGGGACATCTCCAGCTCAGTTTTCTTCCTCATTTGGTTCTTTCCACAGTCAGCACCCAGGGATTGCTCCTTTTATTCCTCATCCTCTCTCAGTGGAACTTTGCAAAGGTATCCTGACTGAATAAATCTACTCTTCCTACTCTCTCCTCCCGATCCACTCCCCGCACGGCAGCTAGAACTATTGTTACACTGCCTGCAAATACATCGTGTAAACTGATGCAGATGTGTAAAATTACCTTAAATCTATACCTCAGAGGTGGCTAGCTCACATTTAATTACCCAATTATAAATCCACCCTCCAAAAGTGACCATTGCAAGCCTTTCAAATACTGTTATCTAAGTCTGCAACAGAGGGTTTATTCATTACAACAAAGTTCATTAATTACATACCAGTGAAATGAGCAGTTCTAAAGGTCTGGAAAGGGTACCCGGCACCAGGGCCCCTGTACAGTCTAAGAATCCAGCGAATCCAACAGCCTGGAGCCCCAAGTCTAGAGTTGTCTTTGGTTCTGTGCCCACCCCACCCCCATCACCACCCTGCTTAGTTTGCTTGATTTGACTAGAGACGCTTTTGGTTGATCTTATTGTAGGAACATTCCCCTTGAAGTAACTGTCAGAGTGCCTAGGATTGGACAACAGGACTTATTTGAGTTCAAAGAGCAGGTTATAGGGCTGTGTTGGGCCAGTTTTCTAGTATTTATGCCTGTGCCACAATTTGGGCTGGGATTATTATTTTTTTTTATTTTATTCTTATGTTAATCCCCATACATTACATCACTAGTTTTAGATGA